AATATTGATCACTTACCTTCAGGTGGTTTGTCTTTTCATTTGACACATTAATTAATATCAATAACAATGTCCTCCAGATCGAATTTCGGCCAAGGTGGCCATCCTCAACGGAGATTAGCCATCGGCACAGTACAGGTGATAGTGCCCAAGTGTATGCGCAAGCACGTGTGTATTCTCTATGCACTCACTCTTATAGTCCGATGGGACGGTAAACAGAAATGACCGGAGAGAAATCAGGTGCAGAAACAACGGCTTTACGTGCTTTCCGGGGCACCGGGATGAGACACCGCCTACTTCCTGATTCCGGGCAGCTACTGAGAGTTTCTTGACGGAAAAACTCAATAACTGATTTTTTTGACCCGACCCGGGCTCCAAACACGGGACCTCACGATCAGCAGTCGCATTGACGACCATTATACCGACGAGGCACTCACATTACTTAAGTACGTCTAAATCACTTAATTAACTTTAACGTTAAAACGTTATGCAATATTCTTAATATATTTTCCCAGGGATTTTGTGTCCTTTATAAATGTTAGTAGAATATCTGTTACATAAGTACCTCGTTGTCAGTGGCAGTGGTCCTTCACTGCTGGCCGTATGAGGACGCTCAAGGCCGCTCAGCGAGCTATGGAGGGACTTAGAAATATCAGAGGATATCCGCAGTTAAACCAGAGTGACCGATATAGCCCAACGGATTAGTAAGTTGAAGTGGCAATGGGGCGGCGATATAGCTCGAAGAACCGATAACCGATGGGGAAGAAAGGTTCTCGAGTGGCAGCCTCGTACCGGCAGGCGTAGTGTAGGGCGACCCCCCACTAGATAGAGTGACGACCTGGTAAGACATGCAGGAAGTCGATGGATGCAGGTGGCTCAAGACCGTGCTTTGTGGCATTGCGTGGGGGAGGCCTACGTTCAGCAGTGGACTTGTGAAGGGCTGTAATGATGATTATATCATCATTACAGCCCTTATATAGAAAGTTATTTTAAAAATAAATAAAAAGGACGGGAAGAAATGTGGCGATGGATACTCTTGCGTCGCCACCACACTGCTCTCTCTCTCCCTCTCTATTTTTTCCCTTTCTCTCTCGCTCTTTTTCTCTCTATCTCTCTATTGAACCAATCTGTTATACATTATTTAGAAAATAAATAAAATACCTGTTATAAAATATTCGTCAAAACATAAGCAGGAAATTGCACGATGCTAAAATGACTTTCATATAAATTTCCCACACGGTCTACACCTCTACTTACATCTAATTTACGATAATTTACCTCATATCGTAAAGTAAAACATGCTAGGACATATTTCATTATTGACAAAGATTTTTACCAACTTTGTGCGATATGCGTGCGATATATATGACTATCATAGAGTTAATCAATAAACATCTTAGAGTTAAACAAAAAACATAATCATATTCATAGCGTGCCAAAGTTTGTACTCGTACTAAAAGGCCTTGCTGTTTCGTAAGCGTGGGCTTAAGAACAATGTTAAAACTAGTCCTCGGTTATATGAATATCATACAACCTATATTTAAAAATAATTCAGTGTTCAGTGTCTGTCCATCTGCGAGTTATGAATTTTTACATTTGAAATACATACATACTTTATACTTTGGTTAATCCTTCCGGTGAACCGAAACTAATATTTTAAAAACCCTTTATCCCATACTTTAAAATGTTCTCTACCACGTAAGGTAAAACCATGCTGCATATTATGGTTGTAGCATGAATGGGTCGGCTCGACCGGGGAAGGACCACGCTCTCACAAAATACCACCGTAAAATAGCAGCTCCAGAGAATCGGATGTAACACATCTGTATTTTAATTCTTAATGAAGGATAGATGTAGGTAGATGTTTATGGACCACAGCATCCGCTTAACATCAGGTGGACTGTATGCTAGTTTGTCACGATTAGTCTATAAAAGAAGAAAGATAGTTTAATAGTAATGTCCTCCAGACCGAATTTCCGTCACGGCGGCTGTCTCAGGATTATAGTACCCAAGTATATACGCAACCACAGGTGCAACCTCTATTCTCTCACTCTCATAGACCGATGGGATTTTAATTCGACACCAGCGGAGAGAGATCAGACGCAGGGCTGTACGTGCTTTCCGAGGCACAGGGCTGTACGAGATTCTGGATACGAACCCGGGACCTCAAGCAACCACATTTACGACCATCAGACCAACGAGGCAGTTCTTAAATTTTATTATTCGCTAGATACGTCGATAATTTATTGTCTAAGGTAGATTATACCAGAGAACGCAAGTAAAACAGTTCACTAAGACTGACGCTGACGCTTCACAATTAATACAAGTGACCACAGAACATATAGCACTTTTTAAAGGGAGTATGTGACAAATGCACTCCTTTCGAGTTGAAGGCCTTCACATTACTTTTAAATATTTTAGATTTCTCTTAGTTTAAATGATTCCTAACGATGTTTACAGTACTATTAATTATCAATCATTTCAGTATTTCAGTGCTATGATATTTTCGACCACGCTTCTCCCCTAATACGGCTCATGTCATCGGACCTTTTACCGAACTGATTAAATAAAAAAGAATTTAAATGTTTACCTCCTTTGATAATTTATTTCTTGCCAATTATTTAGTAATGGCGGTGTAAGAATATCCCCTAAGCCATATCGTTCCATGAGTGTCGTAAGAAGCGACAGAAGGAAACTGACCAGGAAACAGGCAACAGCGTCTTCCTAATAAAACTTGAAAAATAGTAAACTGCAGTTGCCTGCCTGCCAAGCGTAGCAACTGTGGCAAGCGTAGCAACTGTGGCAGTAACCCATAAGGCGTTCCTTGCCACTGTTGATAGAGATAATATATAGGGAGGTCTATATTCAGCAATAGACTGACATGCTGTAATAATGATGATGAACAACTCGAACATTTAGGTACTGTTTGTAAGAGTATTCGTTGACCTATACATCTTCTTCTCTAAAACAAATTAAGTATAGGCTCTACTACCTTACTATACTTTACCTTCAAAAATCGTTAATAAGCGAGGAGTACTATGTTCAGTTAAGATTAGCATCAGGAGAATTTGTTACTTCGGTTTAAAACGGAGGGTTTAACTAAACATTCTAGTCATCTCAAAAATGACACACTTCTCATATCTACACCATTCAGCGGAAAGCAAGGCAGCTCTGCCAGATTTGTAAATTTGGTACAAAGTGTATTATTTTTATACATCTTTTCTTATATAGTTTATGACAGACAACATTTTATAATTCAATAACACATAAATCTAAGAAGGAAAACACCTTCATATTTTGCAACACCTTTCGGCAACTAGACATGAGCGAGCATACAGTACACCTGGCGGTAACTGGATATTGCGGCCTATAAACCTAAAAAAGAAATAAACCTTAAAAAATAAACCTAAAACCTAAAAAATGGACTCACAAAATATCTGCTTTCCTTATTATCCTTACATTGAACAACATAAAATGATTGAAATTTTAACGGAAGTGCAAAATTGAAGGTCGCTTAATTACGTAAATGCTGAAAAAAAACCTCACCAAATTACTCATTCGAGTGTGTATTAATTCAGTTATGGGAGCAAAATCATAACTGGTTTGTAAGTGTATGACATTAAGCAAAAGTTGTTTTTGGGTTAAATTTAATTTCGATTACAATTCATAATATTATTTCTTTTGCGAGAAAATGCCTAAAGCAAAGATTTATATAGTGCCTAAAGTTTGAATATAGCATATAAATGGTCGTTCGTATTTATTAAACATAATATTATGTTACTGTAGGTACCTACCTACTCTTTATCTCTATATATAAAAAACAATTGCTGTCCGTTAGTAAGTAAAAGTAAGTAAAAAAAGTAACACTCCACCGAATTTGATGAAATTTTTTGTGTGTGTTTATTTGTATGTGTCTCTAAATGGTATGGATTCTTATTTGGGCCCGGTAGCTGTTTTTCGAGATCCAGAAAACACCCGTGCAAAGCTAGGGCGTATCGCTAGTTTATAAATAAATAATTAATGCGTTTATTTCGGTAATATTGTTTATAACATATTGCTAAGACTTCCCAGTAACTAATCAGAGGATAATCGTGTTGTAAATGACGCGCCACTTCCTTTAAGAATGACAGTAAGGGCCTACGCAGACCGGGACGGCATGGCAAGGGATTTTAATTTTTACTAAGGGACATTCAACCGTACTGTTACAGTAATACGACATAAATTGCTTTGCTTTAAAATGATTCCGTGGCATTGAAAGGGATTTTATCGCACGGCATTAAAAGACGCGCCCAGGGGGGGTACACTTCCATACATTAGGTTGGGGTCCAATAATTTGCAAAGACACTAGTGCCATCTTATACATTGTCCGCATAAACTTTCGAACATTAGTTTCTAAAAGGTGCGCTAGATGGCGACTACACCGATTCTGGTTATTCTCGAACTGGCAAGTAGCAACTTTATACGACATAATGGCTACCGGCCCGGCGTCTGAGCAAGTTGTTGTTTTATTATAGTTTATAAGTGATTTTCGGTTGTTGCCACAATAAGTTTGTTTGAGTTGGGATTAGCCCTCTGTTTCTTGTTGTCTGTTCAGATTTTCATGCTGGAACCACATTGTATGTTTGTTTAGTGTTGTGCGAAATAGACGCTTTCATTTATCATTCTGTTACCCGGTAGACATATTTAATTTGGTTTGGTATTGTATTTTGCGGAATAAACGCTTTTACATCGTGTATTTTATATATATATAACAAAAATAAATGTATAATATATACTATATATATAATACGTCTTTAATTGAACCCTAATCACTTAAAATATAAATATAACCGCCTATAGTATAGATAGCCGTATATACATAACTACATAATATACTACTATCTATAGTCAACAAGATATTGAGATTAGTTCAAGGAATATGATACCAGACGGCGACACTATTCATATTGGGTGACAAAAAATCGTAGGAGATGGCTCTCTATTTCTGTACATATTACTCTACTCTATGGACGCGCCACGGACTCCGGCGCTCGTTTTTCGATACATGGTCGACATATATTCAACAGTGCTTGAAATTTCTCATAATCCATTCTATGATAGTCATAAAATTTTTGCACGTCGTATTTTAAGTCATTAAATAAATTATTGAGTTCACCCTTCGATTCCATTTCTTTCCATACATTACCAACCCAACATCTTCTTCTATCCCTATCATTAGCCTGTGCACCTTCTTCATCTGCAACAATCGACATCAACATCAAATCCCAAGCTACCATTTTAAAACTGAGGCACACCAACACTCAAACGCAACTGAAGACTAAAAAAGTGTATCAGGCAGCAGTCGCTGAGGCGTGCTTTGTCGAGTCGCGGTACGCCGTGGTATGCCGTGGCAAAGTGCTGGAATGCCGCGGTATCTAAGCGGCCAGTGTGCGCTGACTCACGGCAAAATCCCTTGCCATGCCGTCCCGGTCTGAGTAGGCCCTAAGATGACAAAAAGGCTATTATAGAGTTCTAGAAAAATTTTCATTTGTGTGTGTATATCAAAGAATGTGTGAATGTGAATGGGGAGTGTCGTTGTATGTATCGGTGGATGAAGAAAGTATAAGTAAGAAAACTAGATGTCTTGCAATTTTAGAGATCAAATAGACATTCATTACCTGTTAATGTAAAATGTACGTAAAACTGATTTCAGACAATTCTAGTTAAAAGATTTTCAACTTCGTCATAAGTACCCAAACAATGCGTTAAAATTTGTTTGCACATATGTAATTGAATAGGATATATTTTAAGTATTTTATTTGATTTATTAAGGGGATATAGCAACTCAGCTCATATTCTAATTTCGCCCTCACTTTCTGGTATTCTGACTTAATGGTAATTAAAAAAAACATAAGCCCTGCTTTATAGTTAGTTCAGTTAGTATGAAAAGTTTCCCCTGCAGGGAAATATTAAAAATACTACCATAAATGGCTTAGCAAGGTCCTCCGTTATGCCGAAAATATTGCAGCATTAATTTCAAAAAAAATATATGGTGAAGTTGAGGATTAATGTTAAGTACTGTGTTAGACGAAAACACAATTCCGTAAAATTATCTCGATAGAAAAAAATCCAAAGTTACCTCCAAACTTAACAATAAACCACTGTTATTAATAAAATACTTTAAATTAGGTCATGAAACTTTGCATACTAACTGAACTAACTATAAAGCAGGGCGTGTTTTTTATTTATTTTTTATTACTATTATTTTCACTTTAAAAAGAATTTACCTAAACTATCGGCATCTTGAAGTTTGTTTCCTGCCATCCGGTCAGTCTCGCTTCGGCCTTTGAAGGGAAAAGCTGTGTCATTTACGATCAGAATATACATTACGTAATAGGACGACATAAAATTAAAATGGGAAATAACCGTAATAAAAATAAGAAGGGACTAGGTTGGCATAAATAAACAGGCATAAATATGATAAACCTAATGGAATAAGTATCTAACGACCTATCTACTTACAGTATTTGTGATAACAAACATGTCGGTACATAGCATACGACGCGCGGGTAAGTGAGGTCGAAATTGGAATTTAAGCTGAGTTACTATATCCCCTTAAAATCAGACCGGCGTGAGTGATATCTACTAGCAAAGACAGTGTGTACAACGTAGGTGTAGGGGCCATAATATCATTTGTTCTCCTTCTTTTTTTTTTTTTTTTTTTTTTTTTTTGAAGAAAGTGTAGGGGTTTCTGACATTATTAAATTAGGTTAAGAACATAAAGCTTTGTAACAAAGAAGCTTATGAATCCGGTTTATGGAAGGATGTTAGTAGAGAATCTGTAGTTTGAAACTTTATAAGAGGTTTCTGTGTTCTTTCCAGATCTAAAAAACTAATCTTGGGGATACAATCGGAAATTATCGATTGTGCCAAGGCTATGTAAATTTTATTTAATATAGTGCTGGACATTGCTTACCTTAATGTTTTAAATACCCAAATTCACTTTCTGATCAGAGAATTTTGATACATATTATATTACTTCCTGGCTGCGACGATGTATAAACAGCAAAAGATATATAGTTAATTTTTAAGTATTTAAAGATAAAAGATCTCCCTTCCCTCAGCCATTTCGACTCATATGCTAATCCCTTTGCAGTCAGTTCGTTTACGGTATTCCAAGTTTTACCAGTAAAGAAAATAGTGGTATTATCCGCATATGAGAATATCCTTCCCCGACGTCGTGTAAGTTACACAATTCATCGATATACCTCAAAAGAGAGTCGGACTAAGGATACTGGGGGACATCTTTAACGGTATCTTCGACACTAATAAAACTATCTATTTTTACGGCTTAGGTCTGATATCTATTTTTACGGTTACTTATTAAAAAGAAAGACCACAACCCCCCTGGTCCGAATATTCTCTAATTTGTCTATAAGATTGATTTAAACGTGATAATATGTTTTATGATAATAAATGTAATTTCAATGCTCGCAAAATTAAACGCAGTAAATTATAAAGTGAGATACATTCTTTCCGGATATTACGTATTTAGCAAAATAAAAAGAATGTGAAGGTCAATGTGAAATAGGTATATTTGCAACCGTAATTAGAAATGAAATTAAAAATAATGTCTTTAAAATACAATTTAAATTATTGATGTGAAGTAAGCTTTGGTTTATAAAAATACACAGCAATCTGATTAAGCTAAGGACGTTACTAGGTAATTATTCTTGAATGAATGTGATGCTATGAAAAATAGCTTTAACATTTATAGCAGTCATCTAAATATAATTTTGAATCTCTTTGATTTATATAAAATATGGCGCATAGAATTTCAATACCTATTGTAAGTAGTCCCTAACGCAATTTTTGTTATTTTATATGGTCAAAGTTAATCTACTATAAATGTGCAAATAAATTTTTTGAGGGGTAAGGCTGCGCCTCTCGTCCGTAGGAAAATCTTGAATTATGACTCTACAAGTGACACATCCCCTGTTAAACGAGCAGCACCCACTTCCCGTTGTCAGATTTCGGCGACAGACTTTGATAAGTTGAAAATACAAAGCTATGGCGATAAATGACATTCGTCATATTCCGACATGATGATTGGTGGCATATGGAGGATGGTACAGGACAGTAACTTTACGTGTGAACTGGGTGTGAAACGTCAGTTTTAGCTGCGTCGGACTATGGGAAATGCCGAAACTCTAATTATTACCGAAAGATGACGGTATAACCATCTCGTTTATCTCAGGCGTAAAAATTCAGACCAGCGACATATAGCAGCGTCAAAGATGCGACACGTTTGTTACGGCGAACGCCCGTACGCATACCAAGAGTGGCGATTAAGAAAATCCATAACTACGCACTCGCGGAGGGAACCTGAATCCAAAGTACGGTGCTTCTTTGACCGACCGCAGATAGTATGGGTTCCAATTAGTAAACTAGTAACTCACGAGCCTTTCCGACCAACTATCGAGAAATCTAAGGATATCGTGCATGTAGTTCCGATCGTATTCTGTGGGAGGGGGGATCGTATTCTAGGGGGACTTCCAGACGTCTAACAGTAGGAGATAGTATTCATATCTATCTCCTACTGTTGCAGTTACTCTGGTAATGTTGTCACTTGTATGTTTAGTATTTTTAGGCAGTCTCTTGAATTCCACACCCAAGGGTAAATAAAAGGTGTTATATGAAGATGCTTTAACATATTATACCTACATGACCTAGATAGGTAGATAAACAACACCAGAATTTTAATAATATCGAGCGGACAAAATATATAGGTTCTAATGTATAAAGTTATCTTTACAAAAGAAACTTAATATTGATTAATATTTTATATATAAATGAGCTGTAAGAGTGGTCTTTCCCCGGTGAAACCGACCCATTTGTGCTACCAACCATATACGCAGTTGCGTCATGGCTCTACCAGGTGATTAGTCTGTAAATAATATATTGCCATCATAATAAATTCAAGCCTGAAAAATAATTAAATTTAATAATAATTGGATAATTAATGCTTTAACATTTTTTTCAAGAGAATACTTAATTAAATTGACGCCGACCTTATTTCGGAAAATTTCTCCTTTCAAATTATTATAGAACCACACTTAATTATGATTACAATGTTTTTGCAGAATGTTTTTCTTCATAGAAAATAATTCTTGTAAGTATTAAAGTTTCACACTGTGTAGTGTAGTGGCGATGAAGGAACATCCACTAAAAAATGGATGATACAAACGAAACCTCTGATGTTGGACCTTTTTTGCTTTTTATTTATTTATTTTCCAATTCACTGCTTTTTGGAAATCTGGAATCAGGAAAGTGTTTTAACCGTATTTACTTTTATTATGTACCTACATGGCAAAGCTATTCAAAAGTTTTATTTAAAACTTTGATCTATATGTTTTGTAATAATACCAAGGATTTTTTGATTATATTATTATTACGAAATAAATCATGTAATTACAAAATATTCGTGTACAAAGTGGTACAGCACTAGCTCTAATTCAGGGAAAACCAAAACCTAAGGGGCGCAGGAGCACGCCCCTTAGGTTTTACGCTTTCCATGAATTACATTTTTCCCGGCCGCGCACCCCTTACAATGTCCTTTGACAACCTGATTAATTTTGTTAAAAATCTGTGTTTCTTAACCATATAATAACTAACCGATGAAAAGAAACATCATTATTCTTCTTAGTTTGTTTCCGTGAATCGTTTTTAGGGTTCGTAATTAAACAACAAGGAACCCTTATAGTTTCGCCATGTCCGTCCGTCCGCGGTTTTACTCAGAAACCAAAGGTGCTACAAATCTGTAATTTGGCATAGTAATAGATATTAATCACGCCTACAATAAAAAAAAAACAGAAATAAAATCTTAAAAACCATTTTTATTTTGGGTGCCTCCCATACTGGTAAAGGGAGGAATTTTTTTTTGCCCGTCTATTTCATCGTGTGGAGTATCGTTGGAAAGGTCTGTTAAAAACAACAAACAATATTGAGTCGACGCCACCACAAAACACAACACAAAAATGACGTCCCTACATTGAATAAAATAGCCAGCTCACCTTGCCTCGTTCTTTCCGAGATATATCATTGGAAAACAGCGACGACCTTCAGTTGTTAGGGGTTAAACTTTCCTTGAACTTGAACTTCGAGCGGTTCATTTATAACAGTTCCATTAGTAGTTCAATTATTCAATCTACTTACTCTATATAAAGTGCCACCATCCGACAACCAGACGCTCGACCAAACGAGTTACTTCGTTAGCCATGTGAACAGCAAAGGATTA